CCCGCCCCGCGCTGGACTGGTTCAAGCTTCCGCCTCGGCGGGAATGCTGTACATAGTCGGGTCCGTTCCAGGGACCAAACTTTTTAGATGCTGTTGGTTGGTTGACCTGAACATATCTCGTCTTAGCGCCCAGGAAACAGAACTTTAAGATATATACAGCACATATATATACATATATATAAAAAACGAAAGCAAAAAATATTTTCCCTGTCCCCCTTTCTCTCTTCCTCAGTCGATGGCGCTTCTCTTTCAGTTGTTGCAAAGCTGTCCTGCCCTCTTCACATCTTCTCCCTCTGTGTATTTATTAACGAGAGCCGCTTGGTTCCAAGAAGCTGGGCGCGGAGGATCAGGAGTGTGGAGGGAACAGCCAAGTCAGGGTACAGAGGTGGGGGCTGCGCTGGGGGGAGGGGCGCAGGACAGAGCCCCTCACCTGGTCTAAGCACAGGGTCACAGTTCCGGTTTAGAGACCAAAACCCAGAAAACCAAAAAAGAAAAAAAAAAAAAGTAAAGATATAGCATTATGGAAGAACGAACAAACCCAGGCCCCAAGCCCCGTTTCCAATTCCTCTGTCGGCCTCTCCCCCTCTCTTTGAACATCCTTGTTTTGTCTAGTGAGTTTTTAGTGCACCTTCATTCTCCGGAATATGCGGAGAGTCCGCGCGCCTGTGTATCAATTTTGGCTTTGGCCGCTTCGTCCAGTAGGTGGGAAAGTAATTTGTAAATTTGATTTGTCTGATGTGAAGATCGCAAATTACTTGTTGAAATGTAAGGCAGTCCCCCTCCTCCTCTTTATCTACATTATTTCCCGAAAATAAATGCAAATTAATGAACGGCTTGTCATTGTTGCTCTTCTGATTCCAGCCCCAGGTCCCGGTCTCGGGGGCTAAAAGCGAGGGAAGCTCCGTGCTAATAACCCGCGTGTGAATGACCTGCGTGAAACCGGAGGCCAAAGGCGGGGGCGGGAGGACTTGGCGAGAGGAGCCCCCCAGAAACTTTCTCTTAGGGAGTGTCTCCCCCTACCACGCCCTCAGCGTCAGCCCGGCCTCTTCCCCCAGGCGTTTTGACCCCGCATCCCCCCTCACCATCCAGGACAGAGACAGGTGTCAGGACTCAATTCCCGAAGCGATTCCTTTCTCTTCAGAGGCAGGAGCCTGGCACTGATTTCTTCACCCTAATTGCCTGCACCAGAAAGAAGAGGGGGAGGGGAAGAGGGTCGGGAGGCGGGAAAGGATAGCTATGTAATGCTCTCAGAGCTGAGCCAAAAAAGAGAAGAAAGCAAAACGACAAAAAAACGATCCGTGTCCTGCATGTTGGCAGCAGACACCCTTCCTTTCCACTGAGCTGCCCCGGGTGACTTCACCGCGGCTGGGGGATCCGAGCCATTCCTTCCACGTGCTAAGATGTCCCTCTAAGCCCTCGGGCCCTGCCAGAAGTGGCCAGATCATCTTTGTTCGCGTCGCAAAGTTTCTTTAAAGCATACAAACACATAACCTGGAAAAGTCGACAAGGACGCGTTTTGCTGTGGCCGGGGAAGAAGGCGACGGCTTGCAGCTGGGGGTCGGGAAGGACAGGCCCTCCTCCCTCCGAGGGAAGACCGGGGTGGCGGGGACACTCCCCCAGGAAGTGCCGAGCCTGGAACCGTCCAGACTCCCAGACGCCTCTCAGGTGCAAGGCCAAGGAGCTGCTCAGCTCGTCCACGGGCGGGAAGGAAATAAGGAAACAACGAAAAGTTTCCTGCGAAGTGACCAACACCCCCTGTCTTTTAAATTCCGTGGGGGGCCTGAGAGCACGCCGAGGCGGGCTTCGGAGGACAGGCTCCTCCC